CCGGATCAGCGGTAACCCTCTTCTCGTCGTTCGACTGATATTGGCCCTGGGAGCCGGTGGTAGCCTTATCCGATACAATCCTGCCTCCCGCATCGGAATTCTCGCAGAACGAAATTTGCATGTATGCGCGCTATCACCAAGGCCACCTCCCCTTCTCGATCCTTCCCTCCTTCCCCTCGTATAAACGCGCGAGCTCGTTTCCCTGCTCGTCTCTACCCCTCTCCTTCTTCAGACTGTCTTTCGCCAACTCGATACCTCTTATTATGCAAAGCAGCCAGATCAGTGTGATATCATCATAATCGTCAATGCGTACCGCGTCGTGAATTTCTTATGCACGATCTTGCGATATACGCGCCGGAGTTTTTCATACTTTTCTTATTTTCCGCCGTGGTCTCGCATTCTCGTATGCTCGCCCGATTTTCCGCCTTGCTTCTTCTTGTTTCGTGAGCACAAAATCGCGGACTGCGTGGTACGGACATCGTCGGCATTTCAATATGCAATGAATAATGTAGAATTACTCGTAACATTCTATCTATAGCCACTTGATTAATATTAAAATATTAGCTTGATTAATAATGCAAGAAGTGATAAAAGCGCATAATTAAAAGCATTTAATTAAGACATTACACTAAAAGATAAAATTCGATGAATAGACTTGAGAATTCAAAAAAAGGGAACGTAAAAAAGTGTTAAAATTATAGCCATTATTAAGACAGATAATTTCACGATAAAATTCATCAGTTGATTGCGACAGCGCCGGCGGCGGCTCTATGAAAATTTTAATAAATAATCCTTTTCATTATTCCGTCCACCCGATCTGATGTCTCTTAAGACTAACTTTGCTAAACAATATTTCGTTTTTTTTTTCTTTTTTTGTTGATTTTGATGGTAATCCTCGATAAAAAGTTTATCGTCGTTAATTTATCTGCGGTATAAAAGAATAAGGAAGACCAGGACTGACTAAATTAACTACTTGAAAGGAATAGTGGGGTAATGTCGCGCGCGCGGCTTTATTAAAAAATTAACTGCGTTAAAAAGTTAGTCGAACGTACCGTATAAAAGTTGTCGAAGAAAAAGAGAGTCCTCTCAATTATTCTTATCTTCGATGCCATTATTTGCTACCGAAGTTCTTGCATCGTAATTTCGCAATTTCTTGATAAAAGAGTTAGGATCTTGAGCACTATACAAGCGTAAGAGATTTTTTTATTACGATGGTAATTCGTAATATATCAGCGCTTTGCAAACTAGGAAGTAAAATTATGTTTAGAATTTTTCAGAATCAAGTTTTATCGTGAGTATACATAATAAAACTGTTTTTATCCAAATAAATTTTATTTTAACATTTCAACTTTATGAATATTAAAACTTTTAATTTAAGAAGTTGGTTGAGAGATGGTTAGTTAAATTTTTATTAAAATTAATTTGATTTAACATTAATTTAAAAAATATTAAAATATTCTGAATGTAAAATATTCTGTAATTTTCAGAAATGCGCGGTAATAAAAGAGAATGTCAGCAGGGGTTTTAACCGAAACTGTTTCAACGCAGTCATGTATACCGTGTATACCAATTTATGCCTAAGTAGGTAACGTATAATGCGTTGCTTCACGCGAGAGAATACTAGAGACTATTATATGCGCACGTAACGGCAGCGAGACGTACACCGCGGTGATAGCGCAACTTAACTCGTTACGTATGTCGCGCGTCCCCGAGAATTCCTCTTCTATCCAAGCTCGTTTATCGTTTGCTAAAAACTGCCCATTAGAAAAGAAGCGCGCATAAAAGTGAAGTAGGCTGCGGTAAGGCGAGTGTCGTTAGGTAGCCGCGCGGGTACGAGCCGAGAGTTTTAATTACGCGGAATTCTACGGAGTTTTAAAGGGGCCGGGGAAGGGGACGGCTGAAATTGCCGAAAACTGGCGGCATTATGGGCCGCGAGTTCGCGCATAGTGCGGCGGGCGCGGAGGGGCGGTTGAACGGGGGCGAGAATGAGAAAAGGGCGGAGGTACCGAAGGGAGACATAGGAAGAAATAAAGCGGCCATGTTCCTTTGAGGCTGCGAGCAATATGGAAATAAAGGTCGGTATCCGTGTAAAAGTTTTAGTGTCACCTCTACCTCCGCGAGTTTATTGCTCCCCAGAGAACCCCTTTCTTTCTTTCTCTTCCTGACTCCTCGCCGCCATCGCGTCCTGCTCTCCTCTCTCTTTACTTTTGCTCCTTTTCCCTCACTTTGGTTTCTACTTCGGTTCGGCGGAGACCGACATAGCCGCAGGCGTCCGCCTCTCGACCACCCCCTCTTCGTTTTCTCCTTCCGCCTCAACTGCTGTTCCGACCTTTTTCTCGCCCAGGAAACAACCTTCGGCCGGGCTGTTCCTCATCAGAACGTTATTTTTGCAACGTCCTGACCGATAATCGCTTTTCGTTTTGTTCCAACGATTATCGGAATTCGCGGTCTTCGGCCACAGAAAAAGCGCGATATATGTACACAGTTTTCTTCCTTTTATTCTTCCTCGCTTTATCGTACGCCTGCGAGACCTCAAAAACGTCGATGGTGGTCCAGTGGCCGGATAACGGCGATTATCCGCCGTAAAAGAACCCGCGCGTGTAAGTTCCCGGTAATACCATTTAGATTACACGCGATTACGTTACCGGTGGCAGGCCATCTCTCGACATGAAGTTTAGTCCTTAGGCGCGCCATTACTTCAATTAGCTACTTACGTAGAATTGCAATTTGCGTAGAAGCGATGCTTAGACGTACTGTGAAGTTTAATGAGATTCTGACATATTTAAATAATATCTTACGGATTTAATATGGTTGTATGAGATTCCAAAAATTAAACGTAATCAGTGGGCTTTCAAGTTTATAAAACTCAATCTAACGAGAAAACATTTAATTTATGCATTTAACTCATAAACGTTCGCGTGATGAGGCTGCGCTCAGCTAACAAGTTTTCTTATGCAATGATTAACTATCATCTTCGTACACCTTCATTTCATTCTCCAGAATATGGAAGCGCAATTTTAATGACAGCTCTAAAAATTATATACTTTTTCTTTAATTATTTTTTATTGGACAAATAATGAAAAAAAAAACAAAATTTGCGCGATATTATATCAACGTGTTTAGTGCGATTTTTAAATCTGCAATTGAGTAATAATAATAAATAATATTCTGCGAGCAAACGTCATTTTTCGATATTTGCAAGATTACGCTTGAAATCGATGAAAGCAATTCCGCCGCATGCAAACACCAGAGCGGACGCTGCTAATAGCAGTTTTAATCACAATACCGGATAAACATTTACCCACGACGTCGTCATTGTGCTATTTCAGATACTGAGGGATATCCGGCAGGGTTTAATGCAGCTAGGACGAGACGGACGGGGTCAGCTCCCTGGGGGTAAGTACATCAAGGACTAACCTCCAGCTAGTTGTCGCCTCGTCTCTCCACGACCTATAACCCGCCCTCTTGCAACCCACCTGCCTACGTATAGATGCATACGTGTGCCACGTAGAACGGCGCGACTGCCTATGTGCGTGTACGTTGAACAAAACGCGCACGTGCCAAGCGATATGAGAATCGACTCCCAAATGCCTGACACCTCGTATGTAGCTGCTCACTCTCGCGAGACTCATTTTGAGCATTCGTTTCCTGATGGCTCCCCTCGTAGTCTTTTTCAGAAAATCTCGCTCCCCGTAGCCTCAGCAGCTTTTCACGATAAAGTGGAAGCGCACTGGAATGACATCTACGTCTTACAAAAAGGCGCTTGTAGCAGAAAAGAGAAAAGTTTTCGGTACATCGGAAAACCTCACGAGGAACATCAGGAAATTTTTATACCTTTGCTCTATTAAGATTGCATAATTTTAATTGTCTTTTTAATTATCAAGCCAAAATTTCGTAGCAAAATAATAATGAATTTGTGCAGTGAAAACAATTAAAGATGAGATATAATAGCGCGGTGCAGACTAATGTTATTTTATACATTGCAGTAGAATGGATCTTGCTCTCTCTCTATGCTCTTTATTGTCAATTTATCACCACTATAGTGGTTTTATTTCCTATTCACAAAGACCGAGGTATGACGGCGTCGTGAAGCCCCTCGTATACGCGAACTAATCTTGTTATTGTTAGTACCTGCCACCTTCATTTCCCAAACGGGAGCAACAAACGCTCTTTGCTACTCCTGCCTTTCTTCACACAATTGCATGCACTCTCTCGTAATTTCCAAGTTTCCGTACCAACGAAGAATCCAAATTTTTATGTCTATTGTTGTTAAACACAATTTACTTAACATTTTTATAATGATCAGTATTTTGTATACAATTGTACTATCTTTAACATATTTTTCTCCCTTTCTCAAAAACTTCAATATATTATGACATAAAATTTCACTCGTCCTGTAATAATTTTTTTTATAATCCTTTTTATCTATCTTGTCTCTTTCAATCAGGCAGATGCATGCTGAGATGCATGCTAATTTCCATTTTCGCAAATTAGAAAAGACAGAATAAAACATTGATTCGCAGATGACACGTACATGTACGACGAAGACGCGCGTTGTGGAGGCGCAGGTGGTTTAGGTCCTGGATCAGGTGGTCAACATCATTGGTACGATGAACCACCTTACGAATCGGATCCCGAAGATTTTCTTATGGGGGCTAGCGGGGGTGGTCCGGTGCCTACCGCGACTATTCAAAACGGAAGGTAATATTTTCGCTTAAGACAAAATCTGAAACTTGGATCTCTCTTATTAATTTCTTCTCCAAATTTCTAAATATCTCAATATTCAGATCTATCATAGATCTTGAGAATTAAGAAAGCTGATTTTCAGCATTATTATTAAATGTAATGATTGCACTCTAGGGTGTGCTTTACGCTGAATTTGAGGCCGGAGAATCGAGGCGAGGGCGTGATCTCTCTTCGAACAGCCGGCGATATCAGTTTGCCGCGCGATCGTTCGAGGAAAGGTGCGACGTCGACGATGCGAGGTCTCATCGTTCCTCAGGGTCACAATAATCCACCGACGATTATACCCCTAACACATTCAAGGGCTTCTCGTGAAAGTGGAGATTACGCGAGTAGCGACGTGCAGGTAAGTCCACCATTGTCGAGCAATCATCCGGGCAGCTATCACGCGCGTCACTTTGTAAACATTCTAAACACTTGCCATTTCTCTGAGGCAAAAGTCTCTTCGCTGTTAGCATAGTCATATTGTCTTACGCGCTTTGATGTTATAGCGACACGAGAGAGCGGCGGAATAATTAGAGGTTTGGTAAATAATTCATTCTCATAAATACACATATTGTGATCATAAATTAAACTTAATTTGATGTATTTTTGTGTGGCGTATTTTTCAAAATAATTTCTCCTTCACGTTTGGGAATGATATAACAATTAACTAATTTTGACTAATCGAAAAATATAACATACGCCACTTCGCTCCACAATTCCGCCGCTCGAGACTGAATTACTGTGCACCCCTAAGTCATGAACCTCGTTAAGTCGCGGATAATATTATTGCGCTGAAGCGTAATATTGAAGGACCGTCTAGATAAATCCCGTTAGATTACAGCTGTCACTCCATAGCGGAATTACATTAGTGACTGCGTTGCGATAAGTACCACGCAGAAGAGGACGTTCTCAGTCGGGCTTCCTTAGCCCTCGCCCAAGTTCGATCTCCCTCGCGAGAAGCGCGCATCCGGCCCGCTTAGGTCTCACGGGCTTTTCAGGAAAAGGGGGGGGGGGATGAGGGAATGCCTACCGTTCTCGCGGGCGTACGTCACGGCGTGATTTATTTAATTTTGGGGCTGCAGAGTGTGAGTTCGAGACTATCGACTGTGTCGGTGGACACGAGTAGGAGCGATCAGCCTCCGGTGGGCGGTCGCCATCCCGATCGACCGGATCACCACCACGAGCACCATCACAACCATCGCCATCATCACGACCATCACCACGCGGTCTCACCCCGACCTAATCAGCGTCACCCCGCCGCTACTAGCACGACCGTTGCCAACGCCGACGCAACGTCACCGCAAAGCAACGCGCAACGCCGCCCGATTCCCAGATATGTTCGTATTTGCCGAATCTATGAATAACGTAGACCCCCGCCCGCTACCCTTTAACCCCCCCGCCATACTACTAACCCACTTGTACGCCTCTCCACGCGTGGACCTGCTCAGTTTATTACGTATGTATGCCGACCGTACAAACATCGGGCGTCTTCGGGCTAGGAAACGGGAGATCACGGCAGATTAGATGCATATATGCGAGCATACCGGCGCTCGTGAATATGAATTTTTCACCCCGCTTACGCGCACGCCGTTTTTTTCTTTTTGCCTTGACAGAGAGATCGCGTCATAGCGAATCCGAGCCGTCGAATACAGCCGTCGTGGCTGCTATATTTAAGAGGGGAAAACAATCTCGTTCTCTAGTCGGTTTCCGGCGTGTTGGCTCAGTGAATCAAAGCGCCGAGAACCACTTGATTCATTCGTCTGGTGGACAATGAGATCCCGCGATTTACGGATTGTTTGCAAGGAATCAGGCGCGACGACCGGTATGGCGGTTGCGTTAAAATCACGTCAAATTTACGTTAGCCTGAGTCGCTTCCTCGTCTGCCGAGCAAACGTTATTCTTCGTCGACTTCGCAAACTTGGATAACGATTGGGCACCATTTCCGCGGTAGAGCGTCGTTTACCAGCGTTTTGTTTGAATTGAGAAATCGTATGCTTTCCGTAATTCTCTTCCGTTCTTTTGCATCGATGAAGTGGTATCAATATAAGATATTGTATCTTATAAAAATATGTAAAATGTATAAAAAATAAATTTTTTAAGATTTATAGTAAATATTAACCACCAGGATTTGATTGATATTAAATATTATAAAATATTACAAACGTCCAACTTCTAGTTGAACGCGATTCTTGGCAAATTATACGTATATAATTCTAGAAATGTAGAAAACAGTAGAAAATTAAAACTATATTTTTGTTAGAAAAGATTCATGTTTAAAAAATTGATAAAGCATGATCCCGTTTGCGCTTTATATATTCACATAATTTATTTATATCTTTACCGTAGTTCAATTATGATAGAGCATATAACATTATAATAATCGAGTTTGACGTTCAAACAAAAACTGGAAAACCTCATAATCTGATCGGTGCGCCAGAATAAGGTGCCTCATTTCCTGCTCTGACGCCTACACAGCACTGACAGCCTCTATATGTATAAATAATACTCACACACTGACACGCCAATATTAAGTATATCACTAACCCATCTAAACCGACGTAGCCTGCATACTCGCTGCTATTTACTTCTCATGTAAACACGCAACCACCCCTATTAATATATCAAATTTAACGTGGTTAACGTGGTGTAACATTTATATATTTAATCCTTAACTCATGTAAATTTGCTCTGCTATTGTTTAATTTATTACGCGAAAGTTACCTCGAGAATAATATAGTAGATGCAAACAATCGATTGCATGCACTTTTTAAATATTGAAAAGATGTAATATTAATAAATAAAAGAGAATATTCAAATTTGAATTAAATACCAATTAAATTGTCGATTTTCAAATAACGATTATAATGAATAAATATGTTAATAGAAAAATATTTATTTTTATAAAATGTTTTAAATTGCGCTTTCGAGGTGGCTTTTGGCATTTGCACGAACGATATAACATTTTTGAGATTAGGTATTATGTCTTAATATTTTTCTGTCTCCCATCTGCTCTACCATCGATGACAGTCTTATTCGATATTACCTAGCGATGCCTGTAACCGTCGCCCTATCTAACAACATCCGCGCGCTATTAGACCCATTATAGTGTCCGCTTCTCCTTTCACGCACTGTTAGAATTGTCTCTGCGAATATTAACGTTTTAGAGCCGGAGTAGCGGCGAGGAGGGACTGTCGCCGAGCCAGAGCAGCGACTATGAAGATCAAGAAGAGCTCGAGAGTCAACACTCGGCCGCTGTTCACACAGTATGTAACGTGTGAGAATATTCCTTTGAGAAAACGTGCAGATTTCATTTCTACGTTTGCACTACTTTCTTCTTCATTATTTCTACGCGTATACTCAAGTGCATGGTACCCTTTGTCACTATTACATGAACAGAAACAGACAGCGTCCAAACAGTGTAATAACTAAGAAAAACTTGCCTGTGCGCAATTGCCACTCGGACGATTAGTAAAATCACGAAATATTACTTTGCTCCTCTATTTTATTTTTCGTCGCAAGTATCTTCCTCAGCCCTCATTACTCGCATTAAATAGTATTATGGGATATTTTCTGCTCTGAACGCGTTTCAAATAAATAATGGAGAAAGAAATAAGGAATAAGAGATTTGAGACTAAATGTCTGAAAAAAGAGGCAAGTTAGCGAAATAATTGCTATACAGAAGTATGGACTAAAAAATTAGTTAATTACGTATAAAAGGATCAAATAAACCAGATGTTTATTTTGAAATTCTCTCTAAATCCTGTCGGAACACTCGATTCAATTGCGTGTATTCTCCGTATTTAACACTGATAATACAAGATTGAGTTTACTGTTCTCACTCGAAAACTAATTCGCATTTGCATTAAATCTGTAGTTATGTTTATCACAAGTACAAGCCTTGATTGTATGCTTTAATGAGTATATCTATTATTTAATAAACGCTGCAACAACAACGCGTAATATGTATGCAATCTTCTGTTAAATGCATAACATCAATATAACGTTGCTTCATTGCCCTTGTATAAGCAAGCGGGAAATACGAAGACCACTTTATACTAACAGATCGCATGTAACAATTCATGCAAACAAAATTGGCGAAGTTTGTCTTGTTTCTGATTTCAAACGCACACTCATTTTCTCTGAAAATTTTACACTTACATTGTTTATCTATTTTGTTAACACAGTATCTCTCTCTCTTGAATAATATTTTAATATAGACAGGCGACAGATAGTACTTTTAAATGGTACATTCAAATTATACAATCACAAAAAATTGATACATTTTATCGCGAATTAATGTCAGCGCACAGATTTACAGAGAAATAATTCCTATCAAAATTTTTTATAACTGCGTTCTTAATGAGTTGCATGACTAGAATTATAATAAAAGATAATGCCATTTGAATGTAATTCTATTTTTTCTGTCAAGTTTTTATTTTTACTGCTAAAAACTCGAGGAGTTACGTAAAAGTATAAGAAATTCATTCTAATAAAAATGCAAATATGCATTTAAATAATTCAAGAAATTATCAACAATAATAAGTACGTTTATATTATAATAACATGTAATTATTTACTGTTATTTAATAATTATATTTTTTTCAAGATTGATCAGAAAATATAGTTGGCGCCTTTTGACGAGCGATACTTTTCACGTCAAGCAATCACCCCGCGTACGCCTCTACCGCATTCCGGGATACCATAAATGCATTATTGAAAATGGCTCGACCAATGGAGATCCTTATTTCACATAGCTCCTCGATTTAATTAACGCGCCCTCGGCGCGTCGTCGCTCTTTTCTTGCCCGTCGGTGCATTCGATGAAGCACGTATTCCCGGCACGGTGCGACCCGGATGTTCTCCAAAACTCAATTAAAATTTCCAGTCAGAGGCCAGCGCTCTGCTAGAGGGCGACGCCAGGGCGGGAATCGCGGGTCGAGCGAGGAATTTAAGGCACGACGTGCAGCGAAAGATCTCGAGGCTGCGCCAGGATCGCGCATCCTCGGAAGCCTTTCCATGCAGCGCGAGCAGCGTCGAGAGTCTGCCGAGCGGAAGCGGTTCAAGCACGCAGGCACTGGTCCGCGCAGGAAGCAATCACAGCTCGATATCCTGCGAAGACAGGGACACTATCAGCCCGACGTCTATCGGACCTGTCCTCTGTCGAGCGAGGGCACTGGTGGATTGCACTCCTAATCCGTACGACAAGGACGCATTAAAGTTCAAGGTCCGCCCCCGTGATAATTGATTTATGATCGAAATTTCGCACGAAATTCTGTATCAAAGCATTAACAACGTAAGCGACGCGAGGATAATTAATCAGGCGGCTTTATCTAATTAGCAATATATCTATGCTCGATTAGTCACTGTTCCCTTAATTAATTTGAGCGGAAATTAATTTAAAACATCCATATCATTTTTTTCCCACATATTTTGGCTTTTAGAATTATTTAAAGAGAAGCTCGATATCTCGCAATTCGATAGAGCGTATCGCAACGACGAAAGGGCTTCTCGCGCGAATGATCGCGTGGCAATATTGTTTCAGAAAGGGGATGTAATCGATGTGGTGCAGATGAACAAGAGCGGGCTATGGAAGGGCGTTGTGCACAACAGGATAGGCCACTTCAAGTTCATAAACGTCGAGATACTGAACGACAGGGTGCCCAGGCGGGGCGAACCGGAGCGGGGCAAGTGGGGTCAGAGATACAGGCAGAAGCCCGGTTCTGTTCAAGAGCTCTTACAGAGAATGAATCTTCAGGTAAAGAGAGAGAGAGAGAAAGAGAGGGAGGGAGGAAGCAATATCTCGCCGCAACTCGAACAAACTGATTCGCATTTGCATGGCGTCGAATGCAAAGTAGAGAACCTGCTTTTATGCGTTTCTTTATTCGGTGTCCTTATCGCACTCCTTTCCTTTCGTCCCTTTCTCGTACTCTCCCATCAACTTTCCAGCTTATACAACCCGCAGGTTCCGCGGACCATGACGAATTCTTTTTGTTCGATTTCCTCTTTCCTGTACGTTTCTTTCTCTACCCATTTTTCGCTCCTTGTCTACGCTTTGCTCATTTTTATCCTCCCCTGCTATACATCCTGTTACTTTCTTGTAGTTGTTTATTCTCCTTCTGATTTAATTCCAACATTTAATTTGTATGTCGTATTCGAAAATCGTCGTATGTCTTCAGACATTAAGAATCAGATTAATGAAAATGACGGTTATTTACCCATCAAAATATTAATAGTTACAGAATCCAAGTATTTTCAGAATATAAATGGATAATAAAAGTTAATTTAGTTTCATGATTAAGAATTATCTCCATAAAAGAAAAATTAATTCTGTCATGGAATTTACGGCCAAAAGAGCATCCGGTAGCGTACTCGGGTATTCCGTATCGTCTCGCGATTCGGCGACAAATTAGGCTCGATCGTGATTCACGAGGTTGAAGGTTCAAGCGGCGCGTCTCGCACAGTCCCCATCGAAGGGGCGGAAGCGACAGGAAGGGACGGGACGAAATGATAGGGCGAGGAGTCGCTGTACCGGAAACGTCGGTTCCGATTCGGGGAGCCGTACCACTTAATTAAGCCACTATGATCGATCGTTTAATGAGCGCCGTAGATTCGTCCGTGTGCGTCTTTTCAGCGTCTCGGTATACACTTAATTGAAGCCCGAATGGTTCTCTGTACGAATTATATCAGCGGACGGAGATCCCAAGTATCTTCTTCCCGACTGACTGCTCAAGATCGTCGTTAAATTTCGTATAACTGTACGGCCCCTTTGAAACGCTTAGTCATTGAATATCTTAGAAGTCATGATACTTTAGATTCTTTGAAGTGAACGTCATAATTATGATGTCCTTCCGTCATAATTATAACGTCGTTCCGTATTTAATGAAGCTTGGCTGAGATTTTCTTTCGTCTCAATGTTTGAACACGATTTCATTCTATCGAGATATGCATTTTACAAAATGATGCTGCACGGAATAAAGATATCAAATTATTGAATAGAAAAGAAAATTTGAAAAAACATTTTTCTGATTATTCTTTCCAAATTGCCAAAATATTTTTCATAACTGAATGCTACAATCAAAGTATGAACATTACCGAAAACAACTTGTAATAATTCCGTAAACTTCCTTTAAGTGTACAAACTACGAATGCGTTTCATTACACAAGTGAACTATTCAAAGCTCTGTTAAGATAGAAGTGGTATCTCAAAGATGAATGTTCTGCTCGCGCAGGAACATATTCCGGTTTTTGTGCTGAACGGATACGAGGATCTGGAGCTCTTCAGGGAGTTAGAAGCGGCGGATCTGGACTATTTGCGTATAGAACAACCCGAGCATCGTGCCAAGATACTCACCGCCGTGCAGCTTCTACACGATCTTCAGTGTGAGTATACTGAACGTAGCGGCTATATATGCATTATTCACGTTTCCCTCAAGCCCTTTTCATCATCGTCGCTATTTGTCTTACGTACATCATGTTACAATTAGTATGAGTAATACATCTTCAAAATCCGTTGCAATTTCTTAGAAGTGAGAGATGAAAATATCTTTTTTTACTATTTACTAGAAAAATGTAATAAATTTGAATTACAGCTCAACTGCTCACTTCAAAAATGTTGAAACATATAAATTTTTCATTTAAATTTTTTATCTTTTTATTTACTTCTCATAAAGTAAAGACTTTTAGGGCTAAAAACGCGTTGTAAAGATATATAGAAAGATACTAACATAATAAAATAATAATTAATGTGTGCACATATTGGCTTGTGTACACACACAAATAATTCTTAACAGCTAATAACAAAGTCACGAGAGAGTCGCGCAAATTGAATCGGCCACGAAATCTCACGCACGCACGCGCCCTTTTTCCGCCTGTCCTTACAGCGGGCAGCGAGGGTGACCTGGCCTCGAGTTCAGAGGGCGACGAGGTCAGCCGTCTGGTCTTAACCTCCGGTCAGACGTCGGGCCACTGTTCTCCCTTCAACCGACGCCAGTTCCCGCGAGATTCTGGCTGCTACGACGCGCATAAGAATACGACCAGTCGACGGACCATCAGCCCGGAATCAACTACGACGTCGACAAAGCTGTCGAGGGAGAATAATCTGGATAGCGCGACGACAGCCACGAAGAGCACCGGCGGTACAATTGCTACGGAGGGTGGCTTGGCCGACGCGAAGGACAATTTTCACCCCAACATACCGATCTCTAGCTCGGTAGCGAGTCAGAAGGAGGGCCAGTTCGAGAAGTCGCCGTTACTGCGGGGCGGTAACGTGCGGTACATCGCGAAAAGGGGCAACTTCGGCGAGACGGTGGTGATCGAGGACGCCTGCGAGGGTAGCCAAAAACTGGGCGGAATGGTCAAGTACGTGGTCGGTGGTACCAGCGATCTCGGCCTTGAGACCACCGGCAATGTAACTGGCCTCAGTCAACGCGGCTGCCTCAGCGAGAAGTCAAGCGACTCCGGCGTTAGTTCGTCCAGCATCAGCTCGGCGCCTCCGCCTCGGGACAAAATGCTGGCTTCGGCCAGCGCCGCGTCGGACTCGCCGACTAAAAGCTTCGGCAATTTCACCAGAGCGTCGCCGACTTCCCAGGGCGGCAGCAAGAATCAAAACAACGACGGGAGTTACCAATGAGAACAGCAGCAACGAATCGCTAGACTGACGAGTCGTGATGCAACCTTGAGTTCGAAGATAAGAGGAATGGAAATCAGAGAATAGCAACACTCAATGCGAACTGGACAGCCTTAATTCAGATCGATTGTATAATCGCGAGCGTCTTCAGCTTACAGCCCCTACGATTCGTCAGAAATTTCGACAATGTCAGAGGATCGACAAATATTCCGGGTATTTTGTACCTTAGCAAGAGATTCCCTAATCCGCTCCTGACAAGCGTACTTCGCAGCAGGGTGTTTCTTCCATTTCGGATTAGCTTGCAGAATTAAAGCAATTCTAACGAGACCTAATTGGTAACGATAAATACTAATTGTCGCTGTGTCCGCTCGTTACAAAGTATCGCACGCTCAAATGCATCTCGATTTGAATACGTAAAGCAATATCTCCTGTTATTGTTGCTGGAAAAGTACCGAGGATTTCACTTCATTTGATAATTCTTGTCACGAGCGCGCGCGAAGTAATACGCAACGGCGCGAACAGAAATTGTAATATCGCCTGACGCGCTCCGATATTCATGTCGGGGGAATATTTTGTTATTCCGTATCTCAGATATTTGGACGCGACGGGAAGAACTGAGGTAAGAATCGAGCGAAACGAGCGAAATTCCAGCAGTTGTTAAAGGGCTCCCCGGAGGGAGCAGGGAGCGAAGTTTCTTCGCATTTACGTCGCGTTTGGTTCGAATGAGATGCATTCGACGAGAAAAGCGGGGCCGAGCACAATGTCATTGCCGGTCATCATCTCCACGCCTGATCGATCGCTCTCGAAACAGCCAAGTCACATCGCACCTGCGTGTAATTAATAATAAGCGAATACTATGTGATACGGTAGCAATATACGATCGATTAATTGAATAGATAGAGAAAAAAAAACGGCGATCAACGACGCGACGATGTGATTCGCATTCCGTGAATCGTTGTCGCGATCCATTACGTACAATAAATGAAAGAAAGAAAAAAGAGAACGTAAAAGATCCGTTATAACGAATGCGTCCATTTATAGTTTTGATTTCGATACTACCTGTCAGTTTTATCTTTGCCAGCGACGACCTCGCGATTAATCACTGCAAATACTATATAGTTCGCATCGTCTGACGAGCGATATAATTCGTCAAAAACTGCCAGCGTTATCGAATCTTTGCTTTACGCTGAACAGCGATCTCTTATCTCATATGTTTCAAACTTCTTTACACGTTCGATCGATCTCATCGCTAGCAGACGAGCGTAAATGTGCGAGATAGTTATAAATCGTCTCGAGATACGCTCGAGACAATTTTCCGCTTAATACTGCGAACTCGCGAGGATCCATCTTATTCAGTGATACAAACGGATTATCGGATCACAGGATGCCTTACGAGCGTTTTTTACTTACTTAGCTTATTTATGCGACTTCAATAAAGCTCAGTACTCGAACACGTCGGCTCGCGAGGAAATATCTCGTTTATTTTCCACTGTTCGCATAATTTTGTACGGAGTGACGAGAAGACGAAATTTCGACGCCGATTATGCCACGTCGTCACACGATTTATCCTTACTATTACGATCGACAATCCCCATCGTCGATGCGACTCGTCAGTTCTTCGACAAGATGGTAATCTGTACATGTGTATATTGACCACGCCACGGGAGGAAAACGTTGAAAGTTACAGAGATTTTGTATGTACATAAATATATAATATCTATTACGCGTAGGACTTAACGATGTTTTGTATTGATCTTGCCCGTTTGCCAAAACTTAAGATTAGATTACATACGCGATATACATATATCGTATCGTTGGATCTTATGTACATCTCTTGTATAGTGTAAAATCATAGATGAATTTACGAGACGCGGGAGCGCAATCAGAAAAAGGGCTGCGGGAACAGATATATGGGCAAGACCGACGAGCCCGATGGATAATAATAAATCGTAAGTAATAATTTTAGTTGTTACGAAACGTAGCGACGACTCGACAAAGCGCATCTTTATTGAATAAAATAAAAAAAAAATACGCGCACCAGCCCCGAATGAATGATTGAAATGATATTGGCGGATAGCACGCGGAAGCGGTTGGCTTTATTGAAGAGTTTTTGCGATCGTACACAAAGTACGTTGTTGCAACAACAGCTTATTGAAAGCTACAAGCGTTTCACACAATATATGCACATTTTTTACATCGTCGCGCTATAATCGCACTACAAAGACCGAATCGGACAATGGTGACTTAATGAAGTCGGCTGGAAGTCGGCTATGGTTAGATCGAACAAGTGGTCGCGCAAGTTGCTTCCATCGAGATTGATTAATGCGACGCGCTCGTTCGCGACTGTAGTTGCGTGTGATTTTGACATCAAGATCGAAATTTTCAAGATCCAAGTATCGTCACCCTCCGTCAATGGGCCTTTTTTTTTTATTCGAGTTCGTATAATGATTCGACGATCCAAAAGACGCCGACGACTTCGTTGAGAGAGGGATATATCCGATAATTAATATCGATTTCGATGCTAGTTTATCCGTTCCATCGAGAGTACTAACACGTGTAGAGAATGTGTGAGCTGTTTAATTATGAAAAGAAGCCGAAATAAAAAGAAAGAATGAAAAAATAAATATAAATTAAAAATTGTGTGTGTATGTGTGTGTGTGTGCGTGTGGGAGCGCGCGCGCGCGCGTATGTGAAAGAGAAAGGGATGGGGACGCGATGTTAAATTAGTAACGAGTTTATGAGAGTATGCGAATAGACACGATAGTGATTTTATTAGCTCGGGAAATCACGCAACATTTGATGTAAAGTAAATTCATTCTAATCGTAGACCCAAGGCGCAGTAATCGAAATAGATAATTTAAGCGAACCTTAAGGGAGAAGCGAGTCATTGACGAAAGAAGGCCTATGGCGTCACCTTGCACGCCCCTCGAGACGGCGATGCGATCGATAGATAAATTCATTCGCCGATTGAGAAGTCACGACGCGCGGCGCTTAGAGTCGCGGAGTCGCTAGCGAAAGAAATTAAGCGTTTACGTAGCGGTCTAGTCCATTTTTCTCGCGTGGTTAACAAATATAATGTACATAATATAATAAAACGAAAAACAGATCTAGAGAACGGCGATCGCGGCTGCGAATTAGCGCGCAACGTCGGACCTTTTTATAAGCTGATTTTGTATTTATTGGTTAATTGCGGGGTTTATAGATGGTCACGAATTCTTATCGTATCTCGGTTCTCGTATGGTTTCCAACGATAAGTGTTAATTTATTGACTGTGAATAGAAATAAACGATGAAAGATTCAAGCGAAAATGATCTCTTACTGTGCGTATTTTATTTCACAAGAATTACACTTTCCGTCTGATTATTCCTTTGAAGCAAAGAAGCAGCAGTAAACGGTAAGTATTTAATTAAGATAACATGCAAGTGTCATTTTTCTATTGGACGTTTAGTTAATTATTAGAATTTTGATTAAAAACAGACCAAAGCAATCAAAGTACTCATTAATATACTCACATTCTTATTGAAATATTTTCTAAATTTATAATTGTATTTAACAAGTTTTTTTCAATACAATGCGTATTTGCGTGGTTGGTGTTTTAAAAAATGCCGCAAATGGAATAATTAGACGTTTCTTGCACGATTAATGAGTTTCTAACGTTAAGCATTGCAATGTCATTTTATAAGTACGCGACAACGATCCTCCTTTAACTCTGCCACGCAGAGTCATTAGAGGGAAGAAGTTCCGAGTGACGGACGACTCAGCGTCCGCTGCTAGTAACTCCGGGCTCGCAAACTTCGCGCTTTGGTTATCTGCCATTACTTGGAAAGATCCTCTTATTTAACTATCTTCCTGCTCGCCGTTGCTCGTAATTGTAGAAACTCTGAGAAACGCAGCCATCTCTCACAGAGCTCGGTTAGCCCAATGCAGCATGACGATCGTTATTCCTCATCGCCTCTTGCAAATTAAATTATAAATGCGCATTTTACGCATTGATTCGCAAAGAATTTGCTCATCGTCTTTATGCACAATTTGAAATTCATATAAGCTATAGCACACTGTTAATAAGAGATAATTAATAAAAATCTTGCAATTTTATTATCCCGTTAATTAATGTACGTTTAATTGACCATGAGATTGTTTGAACTTCATTAGCAGATCTTTATACGGTACCGTGTCGGGAATACGTCACTGGTATTTGAACTTGTTCACCCAAAAACGGTGTCGTAAAAAGCGGTCGCGTAAGGGCTCGTCGGACAGACGATCTTTCGAAGAAAGTACGATAAAAAGCATTTAGTAATGTATGTAAATGCACCCTCCGAGAATCATTCCGAACGTTACGGCATGTACGTGTCCATTCGTAAGCTTTATTTCGTACCCCAAGGGACAGCGGGAACTTTTAGTGCGCTAGATTATGGCGGTAATAACTCGACGAGTTTCTTTGCCCGCCACTCGTGGTCCACGTGAGCAAATTCTTCATCCCCCCGGGGGTGAGATCTAATTTAACTTTTAGGGTCGCGTCGCGCAATCACGCCGCTTTCTGGTAACTCAGTCCAGCCGCGTGAATCAGTTATAACTGTATCATTTGCTTCGTTACATTTTGTTTTGTACGAGAAGCCTCTTTTTTTTTACGTTTCACAATATTATTCAAAAATTTATGTACAGCGTTAAAAATATTACGCTACTGCAGTACGTATTTCTGATATTATCTGAGTTATTTATACGAATAGTCATAACACATTTATGAAAGCAGTACTATAAATTTCTAACGGATAAAGTCGTTAAGAAGAGATGCTTATCTCATCGCTTTTTATCTCAATTGTACGGATTTGACACACGATTCATTGCTGTAATTTTAATAATATAATCCAACCGCGTCGTTCGTTGTATTTCTCACGCGAGATTTATCACAGCCGGAGTTGCGTTTATCGTAGTGCACTATAAATACGCAATCGACATTACCGTCTACTACAACCGGTTCCGGTGTTATCGGATGCGATCGAACGAAACGATCAGTTATACTTCGCACGGAGACTTTTGCGCCTCTTGCACGCTCATAACAATCTTAATTACTGTCTACGCTAATGAATCAACGTGAATATCGCTATTGGCGTTGCGCATAGCTCAACCGGATGAAGCTCCACTGTGAGATTATTTCGCACCCGAGGCGTGATAAAAGTGGATCGTCCTTTTCTCTCTACTCTCCTTTCCGCGAGGCGTTACGTCGGGAAAGCCGCGATCGCTTCATCTATTTCTATATTAGAGTCGGCGAGACAGCTCGTAAATCAAATCCACGTAAGCTCGCCACATATGTGCTAAATAACTACATTCTCTGCGGTATAATGAAAGCACTTTGATCGTTACAGATTGCCAATGAAGGCAGCTAATATCCAATAATTGCGGATCGCCTTCTGTAACGATGATAACCCCCAGGCATGCAACACAACTTCGTGATGTTATGACCGAAGATCGGAATCATAAATTAGCAGTGCAATTAATTGACAGGAAGATATTATTAAAAAATAGAATTTAATATTTTATCTTTCGACAAACGCGTTTGATATTGTAACTGCAATTCGTATGCGTACATATAAAATGGCTTTATTAATAATAATCGACAATTTACAATAATCTTTTCTCGCGCTGGCTAAATTTATGCTCAATTCGCATTCATGCACACACATACAGTTTTCAGCACGGCGTCTTCAAAGTTGATCAACAGAGGACATCAACCGTTTTAGCCATCAAAGGACTACACGAGAGACAATGCATTGTTAAAGATTACGTTTTGTTTTAACTGTTCCACAATATTATATTTGCATTTGTCAAAATTAAAAAAATATTACTTTAAAATGCAAAAACTCTTCAATACAAGAACAAAGGTCTCAGACTACATAAAAGATACATTAATTCACTAACTTAGAAGACGCAAAAAATTGCATTACAATACAAAACCTTTATTATATGCATTTGCAAACATCCATTGTTTCGTCTAATTTGTTACGATCGGACTTGGAACTACCAACGGTAAGTAAGTACCTGAAATTTGCATAGCTTGCCGACTAATTGGACCCTCAAAGGCGGAATCCTAGTAAACTTTGATAACTAGCCGCACCTTGTTGAGCAACTATTGTTCTGCTCAGTTTGCGAGCAACAAGTTGGGTACCGATAATTAGACAAGTTAAGACAACTATGACCGTCCACAATCGTTAGCCGATAATAGGATTAAACGTACTTACAGGAAGTGTCAGTATAGGCGACAAACTACACTCCAAAACTCTCTCCTATACATTACAAATAATAATTTAACTTTTCCTGGCCACTTTAGAGATTCTATTCGATATCACGAGACGGTGTCACAAACGTATACTTTTTACAAAATAAATTATTGACGTTAAGCAAATCTGAAAAAAATCTGTAATATTCTATTTAAAATATTATCGTGTGGAATATCTTAGCAACCTTTAATGAAGACGATAATTTATCTTTCTACTTTTACGTGTCTTTTGTAATATTTTACCTTTTTTATATTTTTTATTATTTAAATTATAATTTTATATTTCGTATCATACTGTACAGCAAAGCACATTTGTCGTAGTAAATATAAGCTTTAAGTACACAACAGAGAATTCGTAACAAACTTGACACTTGAAATATCAGTCATGCATACTGAAACACATATATCTCCTCGTGTATCCAAAACGAAATTCTGTATGCGTCGTGTCATGGGCGAAAATTATATTTACTTACGACGTCCTGTGTCTCATAGTTTCTCGTTACCAACAGAAACAACATCTCATTAATATCGTGATAGAAACGTAAGGTTGTCGCATCATAGATAATGGGAAATCTGGTGCTTGGTATCATCGCTCTGATATGCAAACCACAGTATGACTGTAGATCTAGATTAATAGAATGTTGGACGATGATATGCTGCACGCCGACTTCTTGGGTAAAGTAATTAGTATGCATGTATGCGGTGAAGCGTTAAATCCAAATGAGGAGTTAATTTCGGGAAACAAGTGTGATAAAATAGGCAAATGTTAAATATTATTGATATTTTTGAATATTTGAATATTTGAATTTGAATATTTTTGAATATTTTTGATATTATTGAAATCGGTTAGAGAAAAATGCGTTAACTACGCTGGGAGAACAAATACATCTTGTCGTTTGGTGGAATTTTATAGAATTATAACAGTATCATTCATGTCTATCTCAGAATTTGCAAACGTCTTCTTTAGGAGCTTGGAGTTCTGAATCCTAGAAAATACTTTTTCGCAATTTGATTTTAAATACGATGTATTTTACATTTATTTCCTTTCTCATATTGAATACCGCATACATCTATATAATACATGCTAACTTCTTGTAGCGCCACTTCCCCGCGGTGAGACCTAGCCGCAGGATATCTATGCGATGCGTTGTATTTTATTCTATTTTATCCGCTCTATCAGATCCTTTTCGATACATCACGTGACGAGACTACCGCCGCGATACGACAAAATGCAAAGTAATGGTGCACGGTTTTCGGAATATTTAATATTCGGCACAGGAACGGAATATTTAATATCTCAGCGCGACCCTTATATGCGTATATGCTTTCATCCGTCCTATCTTGCATCAACAATTTAATATTTCTATCTCCTAGAACTATTTCGTATGAGCCTTTTTCAACATTTTTATATGCATTTGTATCGTGAGGCATAAGACGTGGGATGGATACCAAATCAGCGTATGCATACGGTTGCGACCCGCAAATTTCCGCCGCGCCATTTTCACGAAACACTCGAGACGCGAAACGCCAAGAATGGTACTTGACTTCAACATCGGTAATTATATCCAATCCATGTTAATTAGTACACCGCGGATTTTAATTTTAGCGGGTGCGCCGATATCTACTGTATTTGGCATACGTGAACTTCGTTTACAGTTATGAATTCCCGATTCTAATTAGGATGTCTGAGCTACTGTTTTATTCCAGACGAATGGTCGGTGTTGTGTTTAAGAGTGAAGCTGATGTTTTTATGGCAGGTATTTTCAATTGTATATACATATAATGTTTTATATCAAAATTTTCAATAAAATTTAACGAGATTTTTTAATGAAGCGTTAACACATCGATTAAATTTATCAAAATCTTCTAAAATCACAATGCTTTTTTTTTTTAAACTACAATTTTAGTTCTCACAAAATTTTTAAATAACAATCTTTTGATATTCTACATTTATTTTAATCAATTGTAATCAAAATATAAAATTTTAATAAAATAGCAAGTATGTATACGAAACTCTTTTAATAAATATTTTTTTTCCTGTGATAAAATTTATTTACGTCAAAAAGTCTGCGCAACGCAAAAGCATTGCGTCCTGGTTTTACGTCAAAGCTGCCAGCGAGATCAATGGCCAATAGTATTTTCATCTTTTATCGACACGGTCGCACTATAAAGGGTACGTGCGGGCGCGCGACTGGCGCGCATTAAACACAAACCAGTCATTAATAACGCAGAACGTGGCACCTTTAAGGCTCGCGGCTATAAATTCCATTGCCAACACAGGAGCGGCAATGGTTTATCCGCATTCGAAATCTAATTTATTTTATGAAATAAGTAGGCAATAGACACTCATGGATAGAGCGTACTAAAAATAATATGGTGCGACATTTATTGACTATAACCAGCCCTTTGCATCAAGATGTGAAATCACCAATTCTCAGTCCTTAAATTTCATTTTTATATTTTGATAATTGCGATGATAAATAGATATATTTCCTACAGAGATTTTCAATCTGCGCGTGGCCTGTTAAAAGCAGTACAGATTACAGTAACTTCCAGTAAATACGGAGAACATATTCCATCAACATGAATAATTATCCTCGCACTGATATAATAACGTTTCTGGAAACTTGCTGATGCGATATATCAACTACAGTTTCTGCTGCACCGATAGATCCGCGTGTGCTCGGCTTACTAATTAATTATTATGTTTTAAGGATGGCACTGACATTTCCGGAATATAGTCAGCTTTTGCATTCGTACGACTAGTCACGCTAACGACGCCCACACGAATCAAGCTGTACACGCATAATATATAACGTGATATTCAATATGCAAAGCTCGTGGAAAGCTGGCACACGATTATGGTGCCATTACACCAACGAGATGTAAACTGACAATGAAACGGAAATCTTTAATGGTACACGCATATTCCGTGTATCGAAACGGAGAATGAGACTTGCCTTACCCTTACTTTGCCGTACCCCTTCTGACAATTTTCGTTTATTCCCGAGCCGGCGGATACCCGCATGTACCCAGGGGACATCAAAGGGATCGTAACGATACAAAGCAAATACGGAGGGTGCAGTCGTTGCAAAGATTGCCGAGATATATTCTTTATGCTATTTCGCAGGACAAAATCGTTTTGGTAGAAAAGTACGATTAAAAAAACAGAGGAAAGGCAATATTCTATCTTCTAAATAAGTACTTTTTTATCTGCGGCACTCGAAATTTCATTTATCGTCACGATGCAAATATATTATTTTAACTATTGTGCAGAAGAAACTCTTTTCACAAATCATGTAGTATTAAATATTTCTCGAATTTTATGATGGTAAACAATAGAACAGAATGTTTCAGTGAAATGCGCATAATATAAAAGCAAATCATATGCTTATCAATTGCTGCATAAGCAATTGTAAATCATGTTTATCGCCGTACTAATAAATTGCTTTATTCAAAACCGTGCTTTGACAGTTTTTTCTTTGTAAAAATATTGAACTGTTCAAAATTTAATAAGTTAAAATAAAGAGAAAGTGAATTTGTATTTCATTAAGTACTTGTAAAAACACGATCGTATACGAGGATGTAAATTGTAAATGAAAATTGTCAAAACGCGATTTTTAGCAATTATATAGTAAATATTATGAAATAAAAAAAAAAGGACCACATTATTATTCTATATGCATGCATAATGAAATCACTCACCGGCCGTTGTATCCTAGTTAAATGTATATTGCACCTAGAGAAATTAATACATAATTTAGTTATTACAAATAATTAAACGTTTTATCTATGTTGATATTATTTACTTGTTTCAATTTTCATTAAAACATGATATGCAACAAATTGTGCAATTATATGCAATAATTATTTCACAATTTTTTATAAATATGCAATAAACGTTTACATTCTAATAAATACTTTCAAACATCTTAATAAATATTTAATAAATTTTGTAATTTGTATAAATTAAATTAAATATGTATAAATTAAATTACATTTTATATATTTGTACATAATGAATAAATAATTGGACTCACCAGCTAGAATATCGCAATACTCCATCTGTTGTATTTTCTGCTTTGAACTGTTTCGCATCAACTTCATCAAAATTAGCTGCACCTGAAGAAATATATTATTATATTAATAAATCGTAATTATTATAAGTTATGTTATGTTACAATTATACTCAGAGAAATTAATATTTTATTATTACATATTTATTAAAATCTTACATTTTTAGTTATCTTCATTACTAGACAAAAACTGATTTGTACACTTCACTTATGCGAAAATCGCGGATGAACATCGTGAATTTACTACACGAAACGCGCTTTGTATCACGATATGCCTATATGCACAAAATTATCCCGATTATTATAATATTACATAGGTTGCGATTCACCCAACATTGTATACGCATTCAAAGCAAGCGAAATGAACGAAGATTATTGTGAAAATGGTCGTAATGTAAAAACATGTATGCAATTAACAACTACTTTTCACTTAATTTAATTCTGACAAGTGACATTTTGAGTATGCTATGACTAATAAAAAATATACTTTATTTAAATTCTCTTAAGCGAATGTAGTGATTATTTTGCATATCACAACATCAATATATGCAAACTCAGTGAGGTTATGATTTATTTAAACAAGTTTGTCGTCATGCAATCGACACTGTTAATGAATATTCGTGATAAATAATACGTCCCGACATTTACCCATCACTTTAATCGGCACTCCCGACAAAAATTCGCAATTATATTATGCACCGAGATTGCTACGGATAAAATAATTAAACAATTTACGTCTCGTAAAGCGTTCGCGCTCTGGTCCTGTGTCGAACCGTACGTAATTCATAGTAGTTGATAGGGTAAAGTTAAGATAGCGCTATGATAGCACTGTATTACCATCGCGCGTTCTATCCTATCGGCCGCTACGCGTCATTTCCACTTCCTTTCGGAGTTCTAACCACAAACGGGCAGGTAAAAAGTTGCGTGTGTAGCAAGTTTAATCGTAAAATATCAATTTAATTAGGACTGCTGACTAAAGTTACAGGCGGTTGCTAGAACGCACTATTTACCGCGAATGTGCGTAATTGACGGCATCGATTGTTTGGCAATCAAACTATCGATTAATATAAATTATAATTTCAGTACGAATGCAGATTTTGATACTAGAGATACGCAAAATATAATCTATATTTACTTCAGAGAATCTAAATACAATATACTTTTTATTAGATGCAGCATTTTCAAAATTCAGCTTATTAGAATTAAATTGAATAAAACGTAATTGTTGCATACCTGATAACTTTCGCGTTTGTATCTAACGACTTTTGTAAGACCGTGAAGCTAGTCGTTGTTTGTCTCGCTCACTCTAAATGCATGTAGCGTCGAAAATGGCGGTAAGAATGTAATAATTATACTATTAGGTGCGTTGGCGCGTCGTGCGGCACAAAGCGCATTTCGTGTACCGCGATGTAACAAATTCGTGATGTAAGTCCGCGTAAGTGAAATGTGCGAATTGATTTTCGGTAGTGCAAATCACTAATTAGTACGAGTTTCCGATGTTTATTAATTTTTCGCGTGTGAAGCAAAAGTGTAGTGTCTAAGTGAGTGCATCAAAGTGACTGCAATATCTTAATTGGTAAAGATAATTATTTATTTCAATGTTTATCGATGTATTAAAATATTAACGCATTAATATTTCTCCAGATACAGTTGATTTTAATGAAGTTGATGCAGAGCAGTTCAAGGCGGAATCCGCAACGAAGGGTGAGACAAAATCCGCAACGAAAGGCAGACTGCAACATCCTAGCTGGTGATTACTATTTATTATTTGATTATTATCAAATTATCACATATAAAATAAATGTATATAACGTAATTATTATTAACATAATTATTAAATAAAGTGTATAATAATTTATAGTAATTAAAATATATATTAATTTTTTTAGGTATAGCCGTAAGAGCATGCTTGTTTAGGATGCAACGACCGGTGAGTGAAATATTGATTTATTATACGTGCATGATTGCACGTATCATGAACAAGAACACTAATACCATTTTTTGTTCTCTTGTTATTCGCCAATATTTATTACATTATTGCCAAAACCACACTTTAACAATCATATTTTTGTCTACAATTTACACTTTTACAAATAAATAAAAGTTATAAACTTTTTTCTGTTTTAAAAATAAAAAATTTATACTTTGCAAAAATTATACATGCAATTTATTACTCTTAAATTATCAAATTAGAAAATTTTAAAGCAACAATTATATGAACATATATATATGTAAAAAAAATCTTATAAAGATATAAATTCTAAAAATATAAATTTTAAGAATATAATATTCAAAATATAATTTTAAAATATGATGTATTTTTTATTTAATAAAAATATTTAGTAAATCCATAAATTTTTCTATAAATTTAATATATTTTCTATTTAATCTTATTAATTAGTTTAATTACTCAATGGTATTATAAAAAATATGTTTTTGTGAGTTTTTACAATTGTCAAAGTGCGGTTTTGAATGGACAAGTTTATTGGCAAAAAGAATGTCGTTATTGATATAATTACTGACACAACAATTGTTGTCGACTCAATTTTATCATGTGTTCCACTGAACTCTTTCTTAGACATAAAAAAATTCGTAAATGTTTTAATGCATTTATGCATTTTGCAAAAAACAATCTTTCTGCATAGTGCATACTTGAAAAGTATTGACAACGCAAGAGGGAAATTAAGAAAAAAAAGGAAAATTGGAAAAAATATAGGAAAAATTGATTGCATCTGTCGAAAGTAATTATCAATGCATTATTTTTTTATAACTAATTGATTCGTCAAATTCGTTTCTACTTTTTATTTTTTTGTGCTTGAAGCAACAGATATCTAAATTTAATTCTCCGTGTAGAATTTTTTTCTGTAAAAGTTTAAATCAAGAAAATCAACGAGCGTCAATGTCAAAGTTGGTTCGTATAATCAGCAAATTATACGAATTATCGATCCGGTGATGACGGCTCTCGGATACGAATACACATAAGCATTAATTAGTAGTAGCAAGAGTTACCGGAAGTGTGGATGAGCTTGTCAATGAACAAGCAGTCTAATTCGACCGTGCCGGCGCTTTTAGATGTGTATGCGCGACACATTTGTGCGAATTTCCCATGTGAGCGTAGACATAGAGCGCAAGTGTACACAAAGCACGTGAATGATACACAGCGTGAAAACAGACGCATTCGCGAAAGGACAAATTTGTACTGCAAACTTCCTGTTTCGTGTGTATCGTGAAGAGAGAATTACAATTTCGCGCAGGTGCAAGGGCAAAACAGTAAATACACTCAACAAAATTTAATAGGAATGTAGACTAAACAATTGAACGATTCAATCATAATTTGATTGATGTTTGATTTAATTCCGTATTGATCATAATATAAATTTATTTTGATAAATACATAATTGAACTTTTAATTTTAAATAATGCAATATTTTTCCATAAATTAACTTTTTTTTTTTAATACAGACTATCTGCTAGATTATTGATTTATTTAGGGTTTGAAATATTTAAAAATTAAATTGAATTGACATCGAATTAAAATGATAACGGAACGTGACCGAAAAGACATCGATAAAGATAGTGCACCGCATGCAACGACAGAGTAAAATCTGCTCTCCTCATCACGTTCATGCACAAGATAAGTCACCCCATGAAACTTACGTTAGCTCATGTTATAAATAACTTCTACTTGGCGATCGAGGTACGTTCATCAACTAAAGATGGTCGACGAGAAAATATTGATATGCCTCCAAAGTGCACAGCAAGCGATTTATATATTTCAGGATAAGGTGGAGACGATTTTTTTATCTAGAAAATCCACTGCTGGCATCGACAACCAGCTATCTCTCGGAGCTCGGCTCCAAACTGATCCTAGATAGTCGAGAATCTTGGTACGTGCGCATCTGAAACTGCCAATATTGAGATGGGTTAAATCCTCGGGAAATTGGTTCATTTATCGTATAACATCATACCTATTATATGCTATCAATCATCAATTGACTAACTCAGCGTTTGAATTAACGAAACACATTTAATGAACAACAGAACTCGATAAGAACTTGAGAGCAATTTATTAAGCAAATAATTAGTTCATTGAATAAATTTCATTGGCAAAAGTTAATTGACATTGATAAAAATCAATTGCGATTAATATTGCATATTAATGAAATAACAGTTAATCAACAATCTAAATATGCAAAATAATCAAGTTACAAAAAATATCTTTTAGATATAAATACATTAGATTAAAATCATTGAAATAAAGTAAGTTTAATTGCTACACTTCATCCACGAGAATTCAATTGATGATATTACTCAGGGAATCACTTTATCGTACTCGTCTATTGAGACTCTAGATTCAGTCAATAAAAAATCATTACAAAGATATGGGATATTTATCAAGAATAAGAATAAGAACAAAGTAATCTTACTTTAACGTTTCTTACAAAGAAGCGAATATTATTGCTCGATTTTTTCTGAATAAAATTATTTTATTTCAATGATTTTAATCTAAAATGTACTTATGCATAAACATATTCTTTAGATTAAAATCGTTGAAATAAAATAAGTTTTCACAGAAAAAATCGAAAAATAATATTCGCTTCTCTATAAGGAACGTTAGATTACTTTGTTCATTCCCATTCTTGACAAATATCTCGTATCTTTTTGGTGACTTTTTATTAACTGGATCTAGAGTCTCAGTAGACGAGTACGACAAAGCGATTCCGTAATATCATCAATTGAATCCTCGTGGATGAAGTGCAGCGATTTGTAACGGGATTTTGAAGCGGCTGTCTTGCTCAAGCCGGATAATGGCGTACGGATTTTTCAGGCTGACTGAAGTCAGGCAGTAGCGAAAGGAGATTTTGAAAAGAGATCGGTAGAAATGTGAACGGAGTTACGGGAATCGTGAGCGGGGTGGTAGAAGATGAACCGTGATACTCCATATGTGAACGTTTTATCTAACAAACCAGACTGGATAGATTAGGTTCTTAATATCTCTTTGATAGCTTGTATTGCAACATAATACATCAATCACGCGATGGAAATTTGCTGAAAGATTGACAAATAATTTTTAATATTACGATAAAAAACATAGTACATTTAACATCTTATTCTATAAAAGAAAATTTATTTTATTGAAACAAAATATTATAAAAACTATCATATATTTATTTGGAAATATAAATTTCTTCAAAACTTTTTGAGTAATCTTAATAAAAGAACAGCATGATGTATATTAATTAGTAGTACAGGTAATAATAATAATAGTAATAATGATATCTCCAAACTATACAAGACATATCTAAGAGCATTCACTGTGATTTTGTGATTCAAAATTGCAATTGTGAAAGGTCCGATGAGGACGATCAACAAAAGGTAGAAGGATTCTAACCACGCGAAGCACTCTCTGTAAGCATGAGAGCTTTTTAATTAAAGCGCAATTCTACCCTGAACCTTCACGAATTTTAGCTTACGTAGCTTGTGAAACAAGATTTTTTTCACGATAAGTCATTGCGGTCGTCCATGTGCTAACGAAAGTATCTTTATGCAAGAAAGCAACTTTTTTCTATTAAAATTATCATAAAAATTCAAAGTTCTTGATTTTGAAACATACTTTACCTCAAATTGTAAATTGTAAATTGTAAATTGCAAATTGTAACGTTCTTGATCAGGAGAAGTGATAGATCCAAGTAGGGATTTAAATAATAATTATAGGTGATTTAAGACATCCATGACACTATTAGTGATTACATTGTTCACTTCTTTTGGAAATTAAGCAGAACATATATCTAATTTTCCCTTCCATGTGCTCTGTTTATTCAATTTTAACAATAGCTGCAAATAAGAACACACAATTAATAACAAGAAACTTACCAAATGAGAGACCTAAATTTAAACTAAAAAAGATAACATAAATTTATTCAATTTTTAATACTAATACAATATAAATTTGTGAACAATTTTATATAATAAAAAAGCATAAGGTGCTCTTAAAAATTGATCAGCTATTTCTTTATCAGACGTGTCTAAACAGGAAGATATTTTTTATTGTAATGTACCTCCAATGCACAAATTGTCTTTTTGCATATCTGCAACAAGTCCAACGTTAGCAATAGCACTTTGTATAGTTAACATTGTATAGTTAAACCGTGCAATCCTTCATTTATCCGCTTTTCTCAGATTTTTTTTATTATGGAGCTAACCATTCCATAAATAGTTCCTTAAATCATGATTAAAAATGTCATCTGTTAAAAAAACACATAAAACATAAAATATTTTTTTAGAAAATATAACAATCTCCTTAATTCTCGGTACAAAAGGTTAATACGCAGTGCAGAAAATGTTCGTGTAGGGCATTTTGCATATAGACGCTATTTCAAAAACGTTTATTACAATCGCAAAATTCATATCTGCCCCGTCCTAACCTATCTATTCTAACCTATAAATCTGGTAAATCGAGCTGATACTAACCGTTTCGTATTGTTATGCAAAGGGTTAATTTTGTTTTTTTAATTAATTAATGATATATTTAACCTGAAATAAATGATTATAATCTAATTAGAGCTAGAGTTTCTACCTCTCACATGACACTTTATTGCAACGATTGCATCTGTCCCGCGCAGATTGACAATTTTATCGACCCTCGATCGTATCACGAGTGATTCCGACATAGCTCGTCGACTGATGAATCAGTTGTGTCGCAGATCATGTGTTCTATGCCTTATTTGTTATTGTAGGCCAATGCCTTATAACGATGTATAATGTGTCTAGCAGGCGTCTAGGTGGTAGCATAATAAATAGATCTTTCACATACCTCCGCATTCCGCGCATTCCGCACTAGCTTCCGCGCCTATTTTTAGGTGATTGTACCTGCTGGATTTTCAAAACGCTATAACTCAGTGAAAATTTGACGTAGCGACATGCGACAAAAACTGTTCTTCTCAGTTCTGCAAATGCTTATGTATACTACATAAGCTCTTATCATGACACACATATATGTATATGTATATATTAAACTTATTGTCAGATAAAATTTGAAATATTTTATAGATCCGAATTGTTCAAACAATTCAAAACAAAGAAAAAACATTACACCTGAAAAATATCATTACGTTTTAATAATTCTAAAATCAATAATATAAATCTAAATAGATTGAAACAAATCATATACGATGCTTTCACCTAAAATATCGTTAAAAACTTGATAATAAATCTAAAATTAATCTGAAATTAATAAACTAAATATTACACAAATAATATAAGGCAAATATTATGGATCGTAATCTAATTCTTAGAACTAAAAAAAGATAAAGAGTAAGTTGAACCGAGATTAAAATTAATCTACATTGGTGGAAATGGGCATACGTATTAACCAATTTTTTAGTAACAGCTTAGTAATAATTATCAAATTATTTGATATTTATCATAAAATCATGTAATAAATATAACTAAATGATTTAGTAAGTATTAACCAATTTTTTAGTAATAGTTCAGTAATAATTATCAAATTATTTGATATTTATCATAAAATCATGTAACAAATATAACTAAATGATTTAGTAAGTATTAATCAATTTTTTAGTAATAGTTTAGTAATAATTACCAAATTATTTGTACGAATTATAGCTGGTTCAACCACATTTTTATAGTTATTTTGACCATTCGGATTATAGCTGATTCAATCACATTTTTATAGTTATTTTGACCATTCGGATTATAGCTGATTTAACCACATTTTTATAGTTAATTCAACCATACGGATTATAGCTGATTCAACCATATTTTTATAGTTAATTCGACCATAATGGATTATAGCTGATCCAACCATATTTTTATAGTTAATTCCACCAATAGAAAACAACAATGTGCATTTCGATACATGGCGTAAGAAAAAGAAAGAAGAGATATAAAGCACACTGATTATAATGTGACAAAAATAACCCCAAATGTCACCGACTCGCAGTATTTTCGATGTTGGCGCAATCCCATCTAAGAATTTTTATAAAGATATTTTAAAGCTGTATTAAATTAATGCAATGCACAGTACATTGATTGAAACAAGGTATAATTATGCATGGTTATGTAATCTATTTTTTAAACAAAATATAAATAATTTTACGTTATAACATTTAGATATTTAATTTTTATAACTGGAGAGAGCTAATTATAAGAGCGATGGTATCCTACAGTGTCAGAGTCACATGCGTATAAATCATCATATGCTCACTTGTTTCCATTTTCCAGCAGTTTCTCCGTGACGAAATAAAAACGTATTTTACGTCAAGAACTGCACTGCTCGTTTGTACGTGACAACTAGTATGATTCCGGTCGTTGCATGATCACGACGCGTCGGGTACATAACGTACATTTTATGTGTCGGTTATATATCGGTCTTGCTCTTCCTCAAAAATAAATTCTTGTCGCGTGACTCGTGATCACTAGTCTTTTAGCTCCTACAATTTTGCTTTTCGAACAATACTCATTAATCATATATAACTAAGTAGTTGCAAATTGTTACTGCATTAGGATAATTTATACGGTGCATATAAATTTACCTCATACATTAAACTTTCTCGTTTATTTAATATTATTAAATTTATTCAAAATTAATTTAAAAATTATGTTGGAAAATATTAATTATGTAATCTTAGAAAGAAAATTAAGAGATTGGTTTCTAAAACTGATTCACAATTAGGCAAAATTACATAAGTAACACGAAATGTGTGTATGGAATTTATGTTGTTTATTACTAAAATGCAATATTTCTTTTAAAAAATTAATATGTCTTAAAATTGTCTTAAAGCGATTAAAGTTACAATTATAATTATTAATTATAATTTTAATAAATATAGTTATAAAATAATTGAAAATTTATTGAGACATTTAATTATTCTGATGTATAAACAGGTTTTTTCGTATAGCGTACAGACTGCATTCTAATAAAATATTAATTAGACAATTACAATCGCGACATAATTGTTAGCGATAATTTTATGCTGAATCCAAATTATGCAGCTCTTTCCATCGCAAAGGTACCGGTTATATTAATTACCTCACGATTTCTGGTATACTTTGAAGCATCGTCATGGCTTTAACGCGAGTTCTTACGAATTTCTTCGTACCAAGCAAGGAAGCTTGGTTGAGTCTTCTGCGGAAAATTAGAGAAAAAGAACAAATCCTGCAGGCTCGTAAGGGAGCGGTTGTGCTTCTCGGGCCAAAGAAGTAATTAATGCAACCTAGTGACCTGGTTGTTCAAATAGCTTACCCAAGATGTTTAGCCGGAGGTTGCAGCCGTTAATAGGTTTCAACGTGTAAACCAGGAACAGTTGCGCCCTGTGCCCAAAGGCCAATGCTTAAGATCGCGATAACCTTCGAGGTCATCCTTCCGCTTCCCTGCGTCCTCTTTAACTCGAGAATCTCTCGCATAGTCAACTATCGAAATTCCGAGCGCCACGGAGTTGTGCTCACCAAAATTATTAGGTTAATCGCCCGCTTGGATAACGCCGAAATAAGGAATACGAAATAAGGAACAAATATCAAAGGAAGTCTTTTTTTTGCATATCTTGTGCATATCTTTTATTGTCTTCTACAGAGATTCTTGATAAAGAACAACAGATATATTCTGCGACAATATTTGGCAGTATTTTTTAAATTATATCACTTCTACATTGAACTACAGCATTATATTTTTTCAATATTTATGAAAAGTGAACTACGTGCCGAGTTTATAATTTCGACTTCTCTGTCATCATTTACAAAGAATTTAATTTTTTATCTTGAAAGGGATTAATGGAAGGCGCTACGTCAATGAACTAGGTTTATACGAAACACCAATCAGCGTAAGCTATTTCTGAATTAAGAGAAGAACCGCTAAGAGAAGCTTGGAAAATCAGCATGCGATTTTCCGATGTAGCTCCTAAAAGCACCCGATCCACAACGTGAAAGAGGAACGAATATCGACCAAAGCCGCTTGCCGTGTTTCTCACTCTTCGAGACTTCCTTCTCCTCATCGTCTTACATTCGCCGAGCGTAAGCTATGCCGAGGGAAAAGAGTGCTTTACAGACAACAACGTCTTCCACAAGTTGAAAAAGCGGGCCGAGTGAAGATAGAAACCGAGAAGAGGAAGCAGCAAAGGAGAAGAATGAGGAAAAGAAAAGAGAAATCTATTCAAAGAGTCGACTCAGCCTCGAGGCGGCGGATTTCTCAGCAATTGCCTTTGATTCCTTCGGCTAATACGAAGAATCTGAATGCCTGTGGGCCTGGCGCCTCTATTCATGGCCAAGGAAGGAACGATAAGGGAAAGTTCGCCCGCGATCGAAGGGCACCTATGTGATTCCGACAAAAAGCTGGTTATTTCGCTCCCTCGCTTTTCCGCCCCGTTCGTTATCCCGCTTGTCTTATGTTGTTAAACTAACTGATAAAAAAGCGAATCGTGAATCGTAGCGTCGACTAAAGGCGTCTTGAAACGACAGCGGAATCTTTACGGAGCACAGAAATCCGGCGGGGTTCGTGACACCCGAGCGATATTTGGACGGCCATCGATCGTGGTTGAGGAAATGTTTATTGCATCGTCTTCGATAAAACGTATTTCTTTCCTTCAGCGGCCAGTTTTTTGTCGACGCACGCGAAGTCGCATTCGATGTCCTTTGTAATTTCGGAAAGTGGGTGAGCTAAATGGATTGCGAGGACGTCTTGCGGACCCGCGGGCCTCTTAAAATGAATGAATCTGTCAGATAGATTTATGTGATCCTTTGAAACTCATTGCCCCTAAAGATTTGTACCGCTGTGCAATAAGAAGCCTCCACTGGCACATAATTTCAGGAATCCGCAGGAACTTCCGTAATTGTCAGGGATTATTCCAAGCGCAATGTGTCAGCCGCTAGATCGATAATTGAATAACTCGATCCTGTTTCATCGATTAATATTGCACTTAGCATTGTGGGTGTAATTGTATACTGTAGTAAGAAGCTTTTAGGATGCTTTTAAGATACATCAAACGTCGAAGAATAATCAATCAATAAAACAAAAATAATTGATGAAGCAACTGTGGATATTGAAACTAAAGCCGATAAACTAATTGTTTAAACAAACTCAGTTTAGACAGAGAAGTTCAGACTAATTATTTAATAGGTTTTTAGTTTTCTTTGCTATTCTCGCAGCGCGCAAGATTTTATCTATTAATGCGCTTTTATATAATTTTACGGTGCTTCGCGAGATTATTCAGTGACTGGGAAAATTTCTGAAAGTGCCTGACTTATTGAAAGTAGGAAACAATGCCAACATTGCGGATAATTAAACAGCTTGAAAAGCTCGCTTCAGGCGAATAATTCGCATAAATTCATTTTGACATCAACTCAAATCACAAAACAGTTGCAGAAAAATTGAACTTGATGAATGTTACGGATTACCGACTATTGTTCTCTATCGGCTATTACAAATCTAATGAATGATCGAGTATCTTGTGATGACATAATCCGATTGATAATCCGAGCATCAAAAAAAGAAACTCATCGTTCAATCTACGTCTGGACGGATAATCGTTATTTTAATGCTCGTTGTTAACAAATGGAGCTCGTGATAGAAAAAGAAGGCGTGCTAAGTTCCTTGTGCTGGGCGAACAACTTCCATCGAATTAGTACATGCAATACATCTTTCGAGATGATGGAAGAGCAGAAAACGAACGAGAAAGAGAGAACGAATTCTCATCTGCTACGTATGGTGCTTTGTTCTTTCCAATTCGACTTATAACTCCTAACCAAATTGCTTCAAGGTTACACACATGCCTTTTCCAAAG